CTGGAGCTCAGGCTTGGCCTGTTGCGGCAGGAATACAATCATCTCTTCTGTGAGATGGCAGCTACTTGCAGGAGACAGTACAATGGAAAACAAGCTGCAGGGACTCCCGGAGCAGTAGTGAATCTGCCTGAGCCTGGAGCATGACCGTTCTCTCGGGATCCATGTTCAGAATGGACAATCGGTGTGTTGCGTTCCCCAGCGTTACCTGCTGTCAGCTGCCAGGGCTGAGTAGGCAACTGAAAGCAGCATAGCTTCAGTTCCCAAAAATGCCTGGAAAATGATGTGGTGAGTATTGAAAGGGAGGGATCTGCCAGCTGCATTTCTTCCTGAAAAGTGACACTTGGAAACATAGACCTCTCCCTTGCTGCTGAGCAGTGTGAGCTGGGGAACACTTTTTGTTTCTTCCAATATATTTGGCAAAATGTTTCTATAAAAGCAGCTGAAGGTGCAGCTTCTTCACTGAGAAAAACTTGGTCTTGCTAATGCGCCAGATCATGCTTCTCCTTCCACGCTCAGTTCTGCTGTAACTCATCCCCTGCGTTCCCCCACTCCGCGGTGTCGCGCTCGCAGCGCAGAGCTGCTGGAGCTCTCATTCATCAGAAGCGTTAATGCATCTCGGGTCACAAATGCAGAGCTCTCGGTACTTGGAAACAGATTTCACACGTTCAACTCTCCATAAAAACAAGGCTGAGAATCGACGTGAGCAGCAAGTCCAGCCGGCAGATGTTCTCCCTTCAGAGCCCGCTTGATAAACGACACAGCGTCTGCCCGTGTGTGAGCTGCGTCAAAATTACTGGGCCAACCAGCACAGAATGGCCTTGGGTAGCTGGATGGGGAAGGTGCTTGCTTGGATTTGTTCCCTAGGTTATTTTTTTGACAGCCTCTACTAGACAGGGTCTTATTCCAGCAAAGAAGAGAACCCTCCTGGGAGCTCCCTGAATTACGGACTCAGATCACAGCCGGTTCCCAGCTCAGCTGCGGAAAGCTTCTGGCTCGCTGATGGGGAGCAGGGCTGCCACATGGCACAGCACATTTGATCAAACGTACGTTTTGAACTTCAAGTACTTGAAGAGAGCGTCGCCCTCCCGGCGACTCGCTGTTCCCTGGCCGTTGACGCAAGCG